CGATCACCACTATTTCTCGCACCATGTTACTGCATCGTATTTACCACAGTTGTGGGGTGAAGATATATTTTGTGCAGTGTTGCTCACGAACACCCTGCGTCTACCTCAATTAGTGGGGGACACGCCGCATCGCCTGTGGCATCAATGCCATGTAGACTATGGCGCCTACGTATTTTGGGTGCAAGCCTTACACCCTTGTAAGTACATCCATGCGTGTGAACAAGCTGCCTCGGAGGCATATTGTGTACGTACAATGGCTCACCCGAGACGTCTCAAGGGTTCAAGCTACTGAACATTGAGACACAAACCGCGTTCTCATGTATGTCGCCCCTGGGGGGGGTAGATTGATGATACCTCGACCTTCATTTGGGGAGGCTGCCATACCTGCGCTTTCACCTTTTGGGGAGGCGATGACCACCACACCTCAACCCACACTCGGGGGGCTTTAGTTTGTGGTTCGGTGTACGGAGTTTGGCAAGTACATGTCGTACTAGAAGTACTCCAATTGCCCCTTTGGGAGGCATCAACTTTGCCATACTCCGCCTCCACCACGGAAGTTATCCACAACTCCGACATCCAAACGTCGTCGATTGTTGTCCAACAACCCGTAACAATCAGCGTCGATGATGGCGAACTGGTCCTCATGGCTCCCTAATGGACATGTTGCAACCTATCAAACAAGGGTGCGCTTTCAGATGCACGACCTTGGGGTTCTCAAGTTTATTCTCGGATTTACATTGTTCGAGATCGTTCTGCTCGAACTCTCGCAATTCATCAGTCCCAATATGAAACCTCGAACATCATGAGGTTTAGCATGGAGAATTCCAATCCTCACTCCAATGGAGTTCAAGGTCAAGCTGTCTGAGTAGATATATCCTCAGAACGCGAGTTCATGGTGGGCACGACACATCCGTCGGTCGTCGACAGCATCATGAACTCATGATCAGCACCCGACTAGACCTGGCATGCGTTGCCCTACAACTGTGCCAGTTTCTCACGAGCCCCGGCCCTGCTACATGCAGGAGGCATGTGCGCAATCGCATACATCCAACGAACGATAGACTACGATCTCGTCGTAGGTAGTGCGTATGATCACTCCATCCGCATCACGCGCATGTAGACAGTGACTACGCCAACTGTGTTGATGCGTCGCAGGTTTAGTGTGACATTTTACCGCTACTCTGCGATATCTCGGATCGCTAAGAGAATTGCGATGCATCGTCCTCTCGACAACGAGGCAGCGCTAATCCTTCTTTGCAAATTTGCACAAGGGTGCCTGAGTTTCAAACAGGCAGTCGGTGACATGGGACATCTCATCACCACAGCTATTCCTCTATACGAGGTCAATAAGAGCACCATCCAGATCGTGAATCACTCTGGACATTATGAGCGTACGAATCACATTGACGTACGTTACCATTTCGAGAACCACCTCAAAGAACAATAGACTTATGTCATTTTCCACCGATACACGACCTCAGGTCGAGGATATCAATACCCCTAGATGGCACAATGTTCTGCGCTCTGCGTAGTCAACTCACGGTGGGACAGCTGGCGTCCTTCAGCACCCTCAGGCGAATACCAGGGAGCACGAACTCCGGCCTCTCAGCCCGTGACTGAGTGGACGTGCCAGGGGGACGCCCTGAAGCATGTTGGCTCGACATCGGGGGGTGACGGCATCCCGGTGGTTACTCGATCCATCCGGCCCTTCCACGGCATGTCGTTCGGTAAGGGCCAATCGGTAGGGACCTGCTGAAATGAGTTGAGTCCCGGACAGACGACGGTGTAACCAGTGGTGGTTACACGCACTGAGCGGTTAAGCTCAGTGAGCCAAGGACCTGAGGAAACCTGGGACTGAACCAGCGACAATCGGTGTGTCCTTGTCCTACTTAGATCAGGTGTAAAGTGATCTATAAGTAGACGCGCTCCCAACTGAGCCAAAAGAACTGGTCAATCTGGTCATGAGATTGTTACGAGAATGAGTACTCTCGACTCCAGTGATGTAACAAATCACTTGCGGTTCAGGAAAAAAGAACGACTTTAAAAGGTATTGATCCCTGGAGCTCAGGGTTACGAATCCAAGGCACTGACGATTAGCCCACCGGTCCATTATGATATGGCTTCGAATTTTTGCTATCTTTACATGAAAACTCTGTCACTCCCACAACGATTTCCTCCATTCCGCAAAACTGGAGACATATCACTCTCAAACCAATATATGTGGCAAAGACCTCCAAAATCGAACGAAATTTCGACCAAGGATAGCCATTGAAAAGACGAGTACGGTGCTATTTTGAGATTTTTTTTATTGCTTCTTGGCGCTTCACAACCAAGGATCAAAGTTCCCGGCAGAGGTCTACGCAACGATATGTGTCGTTTGCGCATGATTTGAGCACGATTGGACGCGAAATGACTGAATTCCGTAAGTTTAAAGATTGGCTGTTATAGCTAGCACACTCCAGAGCCCCGGAAAAATTTCTGTGGGACAAGTTGTCGACGATACCCGATGCCACGCGCCACGACCAACCACGATCTCCCCGACGATTAAAGGTTGACTTTGTACCACGATCTTCTGGAGAACAAGCACAGCGGTCGCCTGGCCAGGGGCTAGGCAGCCGAGCTGCTCAAGAAGTATGGCATCTCAAGGCAAACGCTCTCCAAGATTTGGAAGCGAGGACAGCAATCTAGGGTCCTGTCGGGCCGAGCTGACGTAGCCTTGAGGAAGAAAGGTCGATCGGGGCGGCGACCCAAGCTCACCATGGACGAAGTTGAGGCCGCCGTAAAGAGAGTCCCGCCGCATCTGCGCAAGACATTTGCTTCGTTGGTAGCATCCAGTGGCATCCCACCGACGACGCTTTGGCGCGTGCTTCAGACGAAGAAGCTTCAACGGCGGACAAGTCGACTGAAACCGATGGTGACGGACAAGCACAAGGCCGACCGTGTTGAGTTCGTGCGGTCATTTGTTCGCGCGTCATCCGACGGCCAAATGCGGTGGTACGACATGCACAACCGCGTCCACATCGACGAAAAGTGGTTCTACCTGACGCTGGTAAATCGCCGGTGTTACATGTGGTACGATGAAGCTGTTCCTATCCGCAAGTGCAACTCGAAGCGTCACATCATCAAGGTCATGTTTATGACGGCCGTGGCAAGGCCACGGTTTGACTATACGACGCGAAGGATGTGGGACGGCAAAATGGGCATGTGGCCCTTCGTGTCGGTTGTGCCAGCGCAAAGGAAGAGCAAGAACCGCGACCGTGGAGCGCCGGTGACGACGCCGGTCACTGTGACGATGCCGGTCACTGTGACGATGCCGGTGTACCGGGAGTATCTGCTGACGCACGTGATACCGACGATCAAGGAAGTGTGGCCAGGTCGCCGCAGTGATCCCATCTACATCCAGCAAGACAATCTGCGCCCTCATGTTAAAGTCAACGACGCTGCCATGACGATGGTGGGTTGTGCAGACGGCTGGTCCATACAGCTTGTGTAGTCTTGGACCTGGGTTTTTCAACTCGATTCAGGCCTTGCAGCATCGTGAAGTTGTCAGTGGAATTGATGGCCTTGTTGCAGCAGTGCACAGAGCTTTTGACGATCTCGAGTGGGGCGTTCTGGACAAGACTTTTGTGACCCTTCAGAGGGTCATGGGTGAGTCATTGAAGATTGGAGGCGACAACGCATTCAAGTTGCCGCACTCGCAGAACGACAAGACAGCAAGGCTCGGTCCAGTTGCTCCTGTCATGTGTGATCCAGATGTAGTCAAAGTTATCGAAGCGATGAATGCCCGGAAGGACTTCGAACGTAGGGTAGATAACCTTTCTAGTGTGTTGTCAGCTTGTGATATTGAGGGAGTGATCAATACGTCCAATATTGATCATCTCTGTACAATTGTCGAGTCCATGACGACATAAGTTGCAGCATATCATGCTTGCTCTTGTCGTAATGCCAAGTCTATGAATAAAAACACAGTTTTTCGCCGTACTGTGTATACAAAAGATAAGATAACAATATGGCGAAAAGCAATGTCTCCAGTTTTACGGAATGGAGGAAGTAGTAGATAAATACTTCGAAGTAGTATTAATAGTATGGGAAATCAGCAATAACGTTACGGAAATATCGTCCAGGAATTAAGACTTACGGGACAGCATTGAATATTAATACCAACCTTGGATACTATGGTTAATATAATATAATTGTTGAATTAAAAGCGTGGATGACATGTGGATGAAATTTGGATGACATTGGATGAAGTTGTGGATGAAACCTAAAGTAGTGACCAAGCCTGACGTTGGCCCCGAGCGCCCGGGAGGCCGTCTGCGCAAGC